AAAGCCTCTGTTTAGGTGGTTTAACGTGTATTTCTCTGCTTAGTTGAACTTATCCTCCATATAGTTGGAAGTCACAAGAGCGTGTGTTTTTTATCCTGTCTTATACCTTAGCTGGTGCTTTAATTTGAGCTTTGTTTGTGACACATAAGTAATACCTCCATCATTCTGGCAAACAAACCATATTCATTAGAACAAACTTTCTTGGTTTACATATGTCATGTTCATTTACCTATCCTTACAGATGCTAGCCTATCAATTTGCTTGTGCACTTCATTTAAAAGTGATAATAACTTGGCATGGAAAAAATTTTTCTCTTAATTTCAAACTGTATAAAATGTGTGCATTTTGTTGAGTTTTGTTTATTTTGTGGATTTGTTATCTTGTTTTTCTGGGACAGAGTCTCCCTTAATATTCATACTGGCCTTTGACTCTTTGCCTCTGCCTTCCAAGTGCTGAGATTACAGGTGTTTGCCACTGAACCACATATACAGAAAATTTCAAACAACCAAATTTGTTATTTTTGGGTGCATTCTTCTACAATTTAAAATTGGGAAACACTGGTACTAAATCATTTTTAAGCCTTTAAAAAATAAATATTCAACACATTTGGTTCACTGGTTTTCTTTATTCTATTTTTAAAAATCCTTATTCATCATATGCTAAATTGCCTTATTTATTATTAATTAGAACTAGTTTTGGACCTTTAATAGCTTTTGGCTTTGTTTACAATTTAAGAAACATATTCTTTTGCTCTAAAACATATTTATTTATGTATCTTATTTTCTTTCATTTTTGTATTTTTATGTTTTTATTTTTCCAGACAGGGTTTCTCTGTGTATCCCTGACTGTCTTTGAACTTACTCTGTAGATTAGGCTGGCTTCCAACTCACAGAGATCCGCCTGCCTCTGCCTCCTGCGTGCCAGGATTAAAGGCCTGTGTCACCACCACCTGGCTTGAATATTATTGTCACTTCTCTCTCATCTGTTCTTTGCAGTACTAGTTGGAACTCCCAAAATAAAATTAAATAATATCACTTTGGCTTTACTTTTAATTTAAAAAAGTCTTAGCCCCCTTTTCGTTCTAGTCGATCTATCTAAACAAATGAAAGTCACTTTAAAAATAACAGTGTATAAAATGGGAAAAACCTTAGAGTCAAACAATAGAATTAAGTAACTAAGGCAAATTCAAACAAAGGAATATAATCTATTTAAAAAAAAAAAAGATTTAAAAAAGTCCAGTTACAAAACAGCAAAAACCATGAAAAATAAAAAAAGAATACAAAGTATATCAACACATCATTCTTTCTGAATGCAATAGGTGATTTTCTTTGAATTATTCAGAATAACTGCCATAAACATTATCTGTGATAATACTGTAAATGGTTTAAGACATTAAAAAATAATTTTAGTATTTCCCACTAGCTTTACTCTTTGCACTGGATGCTATAAAACTAAAATGAGGCGTTTCCAGGTGCATAAAGACAAACAATGAAAGGCAAAAATATTGCACAATCCTATAGTCTATTAACAGAAAGCTTACTTAAAATATATCCTCTGCATATAAACTCTTCCTTTTATCTAACCTCTAAAGTCAGGAGGAAAACAGAGACAACTTGGCACAGACCCATTTTAAGTGCCACCATATTTAGAGTTTCAAACCATATATGGTAATTCATTTTTTGCTCTTTGGGCCCTCCCAAAAGAAATTCAGTCTTTTAACTCTTTAATTTACAAAAAAATAATCTTTTCTCTATCTTTACATGCAGTTGAACCATTTATGAAAATTTCTGGGCTCTAGGCTACACTTTAACAATTTAAAAACTGATGGAGGAAGGTCATTGGCCAATAAAGAAACTGCTTGGCCCTGTGGGTGGAGTAAACAGAACAAAATGCTGGGAGGAAGAGGAAGTGAGGTCAGAGTCTCGACATCTCTCCTCTCCGGAGCAGACGCCTGAGAGAGACGCCATGCCCCACTCCCGGCATGAAGCTCCGACCCAGGATGGACTAGGCTAGAATTTTCCCGGTAAGACCGGTTCTCACAGATTATTAGAGATGGGTTGATCGGGATGTGAGAATTAGCCTGTAAGTGCTAGAGCTAAAGGGCCAAGCAGTGCTTAAAAGAATACAGTGTCTGTGTAATTATTTTGGGTAAAGCTAGCCGTAGGGGCGGCCGGGTGCTGGGGATGCAGCCCCGCCGTCCCTATTACTACAAAAAACATATAAAGAATATGAATACTTAAAATGATAAATATAAGATGATAAGCTTTGCTGAAGTGTTTATGTAATTGGAAATCTGAAAAGAAAAAGAAATTGGGTAACTTGGGTCAAGGTTGAAAAGCCAAGATTCACCCTAGTTCTTTGTGAGGTGAGCAACAGGAAAGTACTTGCACAGTCAGTGGCAGGAATTTGAAAGAACCAGGCAAGCACAAGTATGTTCTCCAAATGAGGAATTACCTTGGAGATAGCAAGTTACCAATATTCTGGATGCCTGGGGTAGGGAGGGGACTATTATTTATGCCCCCTTTACTTTAAACTGATTCTTGAGACATATAACCTAATAAAGTAATAGCATAAGCGTAACTGAAACTAAAGATGTGCATGAACATTCTATATGCTAATGAGAAATAAAATAATAGTTTTACCAATCCTGAAAACATAACTTTGAAAATACTACAATAAAACAGATGAGACAGAAGAGCTGTTAGCATACAAACTAGGTTGACATGACTAGACCTTGTACTTGTTACCTGGTGACAGAGCTAGTATACTGCTGTATTCCTCAGGGGGTGACACACAAATGAGGTTAAGTCTTCTACAACTACCTCAGAAGGATGAAGAGAATTGTAAAGATAATCTTCTAGCAGCGCATTTTCTCTAGACTCTGAAGGACAGCCAACTCTACTAACGAATAAGATCGGAAATTTTGTAGAGTTACTCCAAACTTTAAAGTGGTACTCCCTTCCACACTCCAAAGTCCGTGTGTTCTCAGGAATAATAGCAGTTGAAAATATGCGATATATATGAGACCTTTCATCCAAAGGCTTGATCAGAAACCCGAGTCTAAAATTAAGAGCAGTTCACAAGATTGTATTTTTCCTTCACTATCACTTGCTTTAAGTCCTGCTTGACTTTTTTTTTTTTCAATCTGAGATCTCTTAGTGAAACCAAATAGGTCACAAAGGTCTCACCTAACCCTATTATGCAATACTCAACATCAAAGATACAAAGTATGCAAATACAAAACTCTGACTGGAAACATTACAAAACAGATTCTAGAGACAATCTGACCAAAGCCCCTTCATTTTCTCTCTGTAACGAATTGCTTACCTAGTTTTATTAAGAATTCTCGTTCCAAGTCTTGTACCTGCCTGATGGATTCTTCCAGAGAATTACAGAGTTTGATCTTTGGTCTTAGAAGTTCTAGTGTATCACTGATCATGTAATCTATATCAATAGGAAATGGATGGTCTTTTGTCCAAACCTCCAAACTTTTCTTCCACCAAACATAACGCTGATAACAAATGAAAAATAAATTTAGCTATAAGAAATTAATAACAAAAATTTAAAATATAAGTTGTATTGTGATGTTACCTAGTTAAAATAACTAAGTTAAAAGATTGAACAAGAAACCTATACTTTTTATTAAAAGTCAATAGCAATGATCCTAATCCCAACCATTTCCTCCTATCTATGTAATTTTTGAGCCAGTTGTTGACTTTAGTCAAACATTTTTATTCTGGCTGTCATAGGTTAAAAAAAGAAAGAAAGAAACAGACATGGAGAGTATAAACGAAATGCCAAATACTCTTTCAGGTACTCTGAAACAAAAGTAGAAAACCCATTTCCATGCCCCATAGTTGACACATTTAACTTTATAGAAGCAGATTCGATGCCACAGTTTTGATAAATTGTCATTATTTTTTCTATGCTATTTGCTTCGATATTTTTTTTAAAAAGGTCATTAAAGTATTTGAGGATTGAACTTTTTGAAAAATATAAGTAAATTATGAACATTTACTAAACAGCTACCATGTACATGCTACTATGTAGATATTTCTCCTCTATACTAGTGTGTTCCATCATTTTACCCGCTCATGTTCTATTCCTAATATATATTAACAAGTAGCACAACCTAAACATATATATTATAAAAAATGCTTTTTTATAAAAAATATATTTTTGCTAGCACAAACGTGTTCTTCTTCCTCTTCACCTTGTGGCCTAGGCTCTTGTTATTCAAAGTGTGGGTCTCACCAGGAAGCTTATTAAAATGAAATGTAGATTAAGTTCCAATCATTTTAGCAATGTCCCAGATAATACACATGCACTTGGAGTTCAGCATTTTTTTTAACCTGCCTTCTAGAACCTTCTAAAACATAACCTATACCTATTCTAGTGAGATATAACAACCTCACCGTAGAGGGCTTACATTTTCATATTCTAGGCAGAATAAAAATCTCATCTCTGAAGCCTAACTCTTATTTTTCTATCAAACTAACTTGGAAAACACCTTTGTTGATTTTCAGTCCTGGGTATTTCTGTGTGGCTCTTGTATCTGAGGCTGAAATAGCAGGCATCAAAAAAGATTCTACTTTGGATATTAATACTTACAGCCATCTCTTTTAAGCATAACTCAAGTATTTAATATAGACATCTCCAGTTTAAGACAGTCCTTACATAAAACAGACTTTTGACTCCCAAACCTGCGAACTTCTTCCCTCTTTTCTTGCTCATAAATTCATAAAATAAGGCAGTAGATACAGGAGTAGGATTAAGTTAAAAATGAAATTCCCCAACATTATTTACTCCCAGATCAATCCTGGCTACTATGTGGATGCATTTCCAATGCCTGGAGTTATAATACTTCTTCTCAAGAGGTAAATTGCTAACAACTGTGGTTGTGTATGATCGAATACTATTGATATTTACTCAGCAACAACTTAAGCATTTGATGACGAGCTGTCCTTTCTAATTAATATTTATTATATTGTATTTTACAGGGAATGATGACTGAGGTATGTGCAACCAACCTAGAAGTTACCGTGTGCGATACAAACTTTACAGAAGTTGTACAATTACACCTATATTTGTACTGAATTTAATTTACGCCATACTTAATCTAAATCGAATTATGGAATAAATAAAATATAAAAAGCACAGCCCAAGAGTTTACTAATAAATGCATTTGGTTTCTGAACTATAAATGTTTACATGATCTGCTATTTCTCTAAATAGGTTAGTAAGTAAACAATTAAGCAGATTAAATTGGATCTTTTAGAAACAAGCATTTTGGATATAAACTAAAACATGCATGAGAGAAGAATGTTATCAAGTTGCAAGTAGCTGGTTGTGGCAATGCATATCTATGATCCTAGCACTTGGGAAGCTGGGGCAGGAGGGTCATGAATTCAAGGCCAGCCTGGGCTATGGTGACACACTTGCTCAAAAAACAAACACCCAAAACCTTCAGGTACTTTAAGAATTACTGTATCAAATACCATAATCTATATACTGTGCCAAATTCACAATCTACATAATTCTCAAAATTAGCAACCAATCATTATTGATAATAAATGCTGCAAAAAATTAGAGTGTGTTTGTGTATGAATCCATCACACAATTAATTTAAGGTCTCTACAATAAGTACAACCTAATTTTGAACATATATAAACATATATCATGTCTTTGCTAAAATTTTTGTTGTATATTCATTCAATGATACCAAACTGCATATTGTGCTTACATACCTGAAAATATACAAGGAAGCAGTCAAGTTTTCGTTTACTGGAACCTCTGTCAAAGTACTGGCCACAGGTATCCAAAATAGTACATACTAATCTAATTCTAAACAGATGCTCAGGAGGGTCCAGTGAACTTGGAGAACCATCAGGGTTGACACCAAATGAAGTAAAAGAATAAAGAGTTCTGAAAATAACAGCTGATTCCACCATTCTGTAATTATAAAGTTCTCCTAAGAACTTGGCACTACTAATACGCCTCTGGTTAAATTTAGGTTGATTAACCTGAAAAACAAAACAAAAAAACACCCCACAGGTTTTCACTGAAGAGTAGCAAAATAACTGGAGGGGTTAATCAAACTTAACAGTTATCAAGTATTCAAAGAACATTCACCAGAGAAATGAAGATAATTTCCTTATTCTTTGCCTAATAATGTGGCCAACTTTAAGTATTCTTTCACTCTTTAGGCATATAAAGAACATGTTAGATATTAAGTTGAAAATTAAGCTATCATTAAATGAGCTTTTCCTAAATAGTTACACTATAATTCTTCCTATCAGCCCACCCAACCTATTCTTTGTAAACTATGAATCAAGAAACACAAGTTGTTGATTATATAAGATTCATATTATTTAAAAAGTACTTAGAAAAAAAGAAAATAAAAGTAAAAAGTACTTAAAGAAAATTCCTATAATTATCAATTTTTGTAATTAATATGCTTATAAATTCCTCAAAGTTAATTCTCAACAGTAAGTTAGAAATAATAAAAATTTAGTATAATCTGACAAAATAAGCTTTAAAAAGCTTCAGAAAAAAAAATACTAGTGACTGTCTGAGGTTGTAGCAGGAAATTTAATACAAGTTTATTCACAAATAACTCCCAAGGAGCAGCAAATAATTTAATGAAAAAAAGGAACAGTTATTCCAATAATTATTTTTCTTTTTGTATGTTCTTGTTGTTGTTTGTTTGTTTTTTCGTGGCAAGGTTTCTCTGAGTAGCCCTGATTATTCTGGAACTCAACTCTATAGACTAGGCTGGCTTTGAACTTACAGAGATCTTCCTGCCTCTGCATCCCGAGTGCTGGGATTAAAGGTGTGTGCCCAAATTATTATTTAATTCTAAGATTTAGAGACTGTTTATGTTCTCCACAAATTCTAACCCGGTGACAATAAAGGAAATCTGTTACCTCCATTCCCAGTCGAATATCTTCAAGTACTCCATCCACAACATGGATTCCAACATCCTCCTGGTAGAGTACTAATCCTGCCAAGAGGTTGGCTACACAGTGAATACTATTGTACTTCACGTTCCAGATGTTTATCATACAACAAATGACATAGTCTTTTACTTCTTGGTCTTGCCAGGGCAACTTTCGCATTTGTCTCAAAACCTACATGAAGAAAATATCTAAATTATTAAGATAAGCATGTATAATAATTCAGCTACTTTATTTAGTCTTATTATCATGCAGAGACAGAGAACTTTTAAAATCTGAAATACTTCAATTTTCTTACTTTAGAAACAGGTAAAATGAGATTTATTAATACTGAAAATTTATTATCATTATTCTCTAAACCTTTCTCAAAATTCTTAGAGTTTTTGGGTTCTTAAAGAAGAGCTAATGAGATGGCTTAGTAGGTAATTACAAAAAAAAAAATCAAACTAATGGTATATAGTTAAAGACTTAGCTCACTGAAAAAGAAAAGCCAAGGTTTGCCAAAATTAGTGTTCTCTTGTTTGACACAAATAATCTCACTTCAAAATTTACTTTCTAACAAAAAAAAAAACAAAAAAACAAAAATCAACCCTCAAGTTCAGACCAATAAAACAGAACAGATGACCTAAAAAATAAACTTACACAATCAGAGCCATCTAATCTTTCACAAAAACATACACCAGAGAACAAAACCAAACAAGACAGCCTCTTTAGCAAAACATACTGGATATCCATCAGGGAAAAAATGAAGCTGGATCATTATCTTTCCCTTGAAAAGCAAATTCAAAATGGATTGAGACTTTATTAATGAAATACCTGAAATGTTGAAAGTCTAGAGGAAAACATGTTAACACACAGGCACAGGAAAGGCCTTCTTAAAAGAACTACATAAGCATAAGAAATAACCCAAAAAATTAACGGAGTTGACATTTAAAAGCTCCTGCACCTGAAAAAAAATTAAAAATCACCAGAGTGAAAAGATATAGAAATGAGAACTGATTATTACTGTTTAGTTAAATACTGACAATATCTTCTAATCAATAAATGAATTAGGAGAAAGAAACATAAATGATAATAAATATATGGAAAAGTGTTCAAAATCCTAAGCCATCAAAGAAAGAAATTAAACATTATGAGTCCATGTTACCCCAATCATAATGGCTATCATCAAAAAAAAAAAAAAAAGCTGATAAGAATGTGGGAAGATAAACCTTGCATCACAATTGGTAGAAATATTAACTAGTATAGCCACTATGGAAGTCAATGGGAATATTCTTCAAGGAAACTAATAACAAAACTATTACACCATATGACCAAATATATCACCTGGGTATATATCTAAAGTATTCTAAGTTACCGTACCACAGAGATACCTGAACATCCGTGTTTACTGGTACACTTTTTACAATAGTTAAGACGCCCATCAACAGAGAATGAATAAAAAAAATATAGCACACAATGGAATCTTAGTTATAAAAAAAGATGAAGTTATGAGATTTGTAGGAAAATAGAGATACAGATCATTATATTAAGCAAGATAAATCATACTTAGACATATAGCACACATTCTCTCTCATGGGGACTCTAAATTTAAATTTATGTTATGTATGTGTGTATGCATTTGTAGAATACAAAGTATAAAAAAACTTGGGGAATAAAGACAAAAACTTGGATGGATGATGGGGAAGGACAGAATAAGGGAAGGTAAAGGAATGTATGAGATATGAAAGATGAGAAGACTAACAGAAGGACAGAAGGGGATCAAGAAGAAAAAGGAGGTGTGGGGGAGGGTAGGAGGAGGAAAAAGAATGACACATTATGTATGAAAAAGCCATAGTGAGACCCATTATTTGGTATATTTAAAAAGTTTAAAAATCAAGTTGGGGAAGCGGCTCAGCTATGAAGTGCCTGTTATGCAATCATGAGGGCCTGAGTTTGATGCCCCTCAAAGTCCACATTAAAAAAAAAAAGCCAGGCTTGAAAACACTCCTGCGATCCAATGCTGGACAGGCAGGGACAGGAAACTACCTGAAATTTGCTCACAAGTCAGGAAAGCTGAATTTGTGAGCTCACAATTTAGTGAGAGAAAACACCTGATCATTACTAACCTTTTGGCCTCTACATGAATATATACATGCACACACACAGACATGTATACATACACACAAATGTTTTAAGTCACTTAAGAGAGAGGATAACTTCGGTTTCCTTGTGTGTCAAATAGTAAAAGTACTAACACTTATTTCCTAGTTCACGGGATCAAACAAGTTATGTGTAGCATATACTGAAGTGTATAGTAAGATAAAAATGCTCTAGATGTTAGTTTTACTATTTCAAAATTTCTTAGAAACAAGATAATCTGCAGAGCTCTCGCTGAAGACAGACTCTCCACTTTTATTATGGAAGAAAACGGATACTACTGGCAGATTGTGAAATAGTCCTTTCATGGCTGTTTTCTATAGCCATCTTTCAAGTACTGAGCAAAGTACTGAGCATGCTCTCCTTATCACTTTCACTGGAAATGTCACCACTTCATCACTATGGAACCTTCCAATGCTTCCAAACTTTCACCCCATTCTAAAACTGCTTTAAACAACTCTGAAGCACAGCTTCAATTTTCAAAGGTGTAGTCATTTCTTAACACTTTCTACCCTAAACAATAAAGCTCTGCAGTTTATTACATGCCAACTTGTAAAGTTAACAAGGAACATCTTAAAAAGTACAGTTTTTAACAAGGTAACCACAACAATTAAGTGGTTCGTAGCCTTTTCTGAAAAATATCATCTTGTTGTGATACTCTCAAAAAAATAGATATCTCAATTTATGAAACTTCAGAGGGATCATGTACCAGTTTTCTGTCTAGCATGCACAAGGCTCTGGTTATCACCAGCATCCCTATAAACACTAAACAACAATATAAAAAGAACAACAGAAAGAAAACATTTTAAATATGTACAGCATTACAATTAAATTTAGAAGTGAAACACTGATGTGGGCTGCCCCTCTGTATGCTGCAAATATGTTTTATTACCAATGTTTAATAAAGATGCTGCTTTGGCCTGTGGCAGGGCAGTATATAGCCAGGTGGGAAAGCCAAACTGAATACATGGAGTCAAGGGGGATGCCAACAGCCACCAGAGAAGCAAGATGTGAGGTAACAAGACACAAACCTCACGGTAAAATATAGAATAATAGAAAT